AATTTTTAACCGCTGTCCGGGATGTATTTTCCGGTTTTTAAAATTACACCGAACCTACTGGTTATGTAGACGTAATTTACGTAAATAACAACAGGGTTTCAAATGGTTTGGAGGTCAAGGGTCGCTATTTTCACAAGTCAAATGAGTACGCTTGCTCTGACAGGGGGTCAGTTTCAATTAGGGAACTTGCTACACGTTTATTCGTTAGTTCAGCGCTCAAATAGTAAATAAAAAACGACTTCCGTACAAAAATGAAATACAATGGAAGCGGACTTTTGTACAAATAATGACAGATACAATGTAAGACTTCAGTATAAATAGTGACAGATACAATGTATGTCTTCTGTACAAATAGTTTGACAAATACAATGTAAGACTTCAGCATAAATAGTGACAGATATAATGTAAGACTTCTGTATACATAGTGACAAATACAATGTTTGGCCCCTGTACAAATAGTGACAAATACAATGTAAGACTTCTTTATAAATAGTGACAGATACAATGTAAGACTTCTGTATAAATAGTGCCAGATACAATGTAAGACTTCAGTATAAATAGTGACAGATACAATGTAAGACTTCAGTATAAATAGTGACAGATACAATTATGACTGCTGTACAAATAGTGACAAATACAATGTAAGACTTCTGTATAAATAGTGACAGATACAATGTAAGACTTCTGTATACAAAGTGACAGATACAATGTAAGACTTCTGTATATATAGTGACAGATACATTGTAAGACTTCTGTATATATAGTGACAAATACAATGTATGACCTCTGTACAAATAGTGACAAATACAATGTAAGACTTCTATATATATAGTGACAGATACAATGTAAGACTTCTGTACAAATAGTGACAAATACAATGTATGACTTCTATATAAATAGTGACAGATACAATGTAAGACTTCTGTACAAATAGTGACAGATACAATGTAAGACTTCCGTATAAATAGCGACAGATACAATGTAAGACTTCTGTATAAAAAGTGACAGATACAATGTTAGACTTCTGTATATATAGTGACAGATACATTGTAGGACCTCTGTACAAATAGTGACAGATACAATGTAAGACTTCTGTACAAATAGTGACAGATACAATGTAGGACTTCTGTATAAATAGTGACAGATACAATGTAAGACTTCTGTACAAATAGTGACAAATACAATGTAAGACTTCTGTATCAATAGTGACAGATACAATGTATGACTTCGGTATAAATAGTGACAGATACAATGTAAGACTTGTGTATAAATAGTGACAGCTACAATGTATGACTTCTGTACAAATAGTAACAGATACAATGTAAGACTTATGTATCAATAGTGACAGATACAATGAAAGACTTCTGTACAAATAGTAACAGAAGTCTTACATTGGATCTGTCACTATGTATACAGAAGTCTTACATTGGATCTGTCACTATGTATACAGAAGTCTTACATGGTATCTGTCACTATTTGTACAGATGTAGATTTCTATTGTCCATATATATCATAGACAGATGTAGATTTCTATTGTCCATATCATCTGTATAAATAGTGACAAACACAATGTAAGACTTCTGTTTAAATAGTGACAGATACAATGTAGGGCCTTTGTACAAATAGTGACAAATAGAATGTAAGACTTCTGTATAAATAGTGACAGATACAATGTATGACCTCTGTACAAATAGTGACAGATACAATGTAGGACCTTTGTACAAATAGTGACAAATACATTGTAAGACCTCTGTATAAATAGTGACAGATACAATGTATGACTTCTGTACAAATAGTGACAGATACAATGTAGGACCTCTGTACAAATAGTGACAGATACAATGTATGACCTCTGTACAAATAGTGACAGATACGATATCCGACTCTTGTATCAATAGAAAAAGACACAATGTAAGACTTTTGTACGAATAGTGACAGATACAATATCCGACTTTTGTACAAATAGTGACAAATACAATGTAAGACTTCTGTATAAATAGTGACAAACACAATGTAAGACTTCTGTATAGATAGTGACAAATACCATGTATGACATCTGTATAAATAGTGACAGATACCATGTAAGACTTCTGTATATAGTGACAAATACAATGTATGACCTCTGTACAAATAGTGACAAATACATGTACAAATAGTGACAAATACAATGTATTACCTCTGTATAAATAGTGACAGACACAATGTATGACCTTTGTATAAAAAGTGACAGATAAAATGTAAGACTAAATGATGACAAATACAATATCCGACTCTTGTAGAAATACTGACAAATACAATGTATGACCTCTGAATAAATAGTGACAGATACAATGTAGGACTTCTGTACAAATAGTGACAGATACAGTGTAAGACTTCTGTACAAATAGTGGCAGATACAATGTAAGACTTCTGTGCAAATAGTGACAGATACAATGTAGGACTTCTGTATAAATAGTGACAGACACAATGTATGACCTTTGTATAAAAAGTGACAGATAAAATGTAAGACTTCAGTACAAATAGTGACAGATACAATGTAATACTTCTGGACAAATAGTGACAGATACATTGAAAGATTTCTGTATACATAGTGACAGATGCAATGTAAGACTTCTGTACAAATAGTAACAGATACAATGTAAGACTTCTGGACAAATAGTGAAGTGACAAATACAATGTATGACCTCTGTATCAATAGTGACAGATACAATATCCGACTTTTGTACAAATAGTGTCAAATACAATGTAAGACTTCTGTATAGATAGTGACAAATACCATGTATGACATCTGTATAAATAGTGTCAAATACAATGTAAGACTTCTGTATAAATAGTGACAGACACAATGTATGACCTTTGTATAAAAAGTGACAGATAAAATGTAAGACTAAATGATGACAAATACAATATCCGACTCTTGTAGAAATACTGACAAATACAATGTATGACCTCTGAATAAATAGTGACAGATACAATGTAGGACTTCTGTATAAATAGTGACAGACACAATGTATGACCTTTGTATAAAAAGTGACAGATAAAATGTAAGACTAAATGATGACAAATACAATATCCGACTCTTGTAGAAATACTGACAAATACAATGTATGACCTCTGTACAAATAGTGACAAATACAATGTAAGACATCTGTATGAATAGTGACAGATACAATTTATGACCTCTGTATAAATAGTGACAAATACCACGTAAGACTTCTGTATAATAGTGACGGATACAATGTATGACCTCTGTATAAATAGCGACAGATACAATGTAAGACTTCTGCACAAATAGTGACAGATGCAATGTAAGACTTCTGTACAAATAGAATACAATGTAAGACTTCTGTATAAATAGCGACAGAAACAATGTAAGACTTCTGTACAAATAGTGACAAATACAATGTATGACCTCTGTATCAATAGTGACAGATACAATATCCGACTCTTGTAGAAATAGTGACAAATACAATGTATGACCTCTGCATAAATAGTGACAGATACAATGTAAGACTTCTGTACAAATATTGACAAATACAATGTAAGACTTCTTTATAAATAGTGACAGATAAAATGTATGACCTCTGTATAAATAGTGACAAATACAATATCCGACTCTTGTAGAAATAGTGACAAATACAATGTATGACATCTGCATAAATAGTGACAGATACAATGTATTACTTCGGTATAAATAGTGACAGATACAATATCCGGTTCTTGTACAAATAGTGACAGATAAAAAGTAAGACTTCAGTACAAATAGAGACAGATACAATGTAAGACTTCTGAATAAATAGTGACAGATACAATGTAAGACTTCTGTATAAAATAAATAGTGACAGATACAATGTATGGATTCGGTATAAATAGTGACAGATTCAATATCCGACTCTTGTACAAATAGTGACAGATAAAAAGTAAGACTTCAGTACAAATAGAGACAGATACAATGTAAGACTTCTATATAAATAGCGACAGAAACAATGTAAGACTTCTGTACAAATATTGGCAAATACAATGTAAGACTTCTTTATAAATAGTGACAGATAAAATGTATGACCTCTGTCCAAATAGTGACAAATACAATATCCGACTCTTGTAGAAATAGTGTCAAATACAATGTATGACCTCTGCATAAATAGAGACAGATACAATGTAAGACTTCTGTATAGATAGTGACAAATACCATGTATTACAGATGTATAAATAGTGTCAAATACAATGTAAGACTTCTGTATACATAGTGACAGATACAATGTAAGACGTCTGTATAAATAGTGACAGACACAATGTATGACCTTTGTATAAATAGTGACAGATAAAATGTAAGTCTTCAGTACAAATAGTGACAGATACAATGTAAGACTTCTGTATAAATAGTGACAGATACAATGTATGACTTCGGTATAAATAGTGACAGATACAATGTATGGCTTCGGTATAAATAGTGACAGATACAATATCCGACTCTTGTACAAATAGTGACAGATAAAATGTAAGACTTCAGTACAAATAGTGACAGATACAATGTAAGACTTCTGTATAAATAGTGACAAATACAATGTATGACCTCTGTATAGATAGTGACAGATACAGTGTTAGACTAAATAGTGACAGATACAATGTTAGACTTCTATATAAATAGTGACAGATACAATTTAAAATACATTTTTCGACTTGTTATGTCACCATACATTTCTGTTTAAAACATTACGACACGGGAAAAATTGCTGAAAAAGACTAACAGCACTACAACAGGTCACGTTGTATTGCCAAACACGAACGAACACAGATGACTTGCCTCGATTTTTAACCTTACGTGATATACATCGACATGTGCTGCCACCGGTTCGAAGTGCTGCTCTATGTTTCTTGAGTTTGCGATGTCTTGTTCGAGGAAATAATTGTACATTTCGATTAACGTTTGGAAAGCACAAATGCGAGGTTCTTTTTACTAACAGATGAATTGTCCATCAATTGAATTGGGATGTTTTCAGGTAATTTCCAGTGTTTCCGAAAGCAACGGAAAGGCAGGCGGAAAGAGTTTTGTAAAGGACCAATGAAAAACAAGCGGAAGTACGGGTCACCAGAAAAATGTTGCGCAAAAAGAGGACAGGGCTTCGCCACGAGATTAGTAAGTTGTCGGATGTTAATTATAGTAATACATCAGCGAGAAAAGTTAGGGTTGGTTTTATTTTATTTAACGTCCTAATAACAGCTAAGGTCATTTAAGGACGTGAAGGGGAAATGATACTGAGTGCAGCTATATCATCGGGATATAATAGTGAAATAAGGATACAGAACATATTGAGCGATGCGCACGACTTTTTTTATCATAAGAACGATGTTGTCTACATATCAAATTGAAAGATGCGAAGAAAAAAAAATGTTCATCACCAAAAAAATGTATTTCAAATTGATATTAAACATAAAAAAAAAATTTCGATTTTTTTTCTTCAAAAATGAATTAAGACCAATGCGATGTGTTTACTGTGTGTTTTGTTATTCCAGAAACGGATAGGCAAGAATCGATACAAGTGTACTCCGTGCACTTTACTCCTGACCACCACCACACCAGTCACTACCCGTAAGTACGGAGTCTGACAGTCCTTTCCCAATCTTCGGAAGGTGTACATTAATACATGTTTAACTTTCTAAGTATACACTGTTTAAAACAAGTCCAATGACGAAGGTGAGAAAAGTTGGAAAAATAGAAATCCCCCCAAACAATTTATCGCTCTTGATATGACATACGGGTGCTTATTCCAGCCAAACAGAATCTCTGTATTGATATACATGTATATGTAATCCGTAGATATTTCGTTTGGCACCAGTGAACGTTTGGATGTCGATACCTAGTATTTCTTTTAATGAAGGGCAACTGGAATTATGTATTCGAGAAGTCGCCACTGAATTAGAAAGTTGTGTTGTAAGGCGTTGGTAAGGTTAACACCCAGTGTAAAGTAAGGAATAAGTTTATCGAACACGTGATCCTCCACAGGACATTGATGGAACCGTTCTCATGCTTAAACTCAACTTCTGTACCTTTATTCCGGTGATAAATTGATAAAGAAAAAATTCATTTTGTCAACTATTTTTGAAGTATTGTGGAGAGACTTAAAGCCGAATAGTGTGCCCAATATTTACACTTGATCGAGTTACAAGAAGACAAAACCCATTCTTTAGCATCAGAACGATTTTTGTGAATACGGGCCAACACCTATGATGAGTATGTTTGACGTGAATAAATGTCAACAAAATTATCACCAGAAGTTTTTAAGAATGATGTCTTTCCTAAATAGCAATGATTTTAAATGCAGTGTTTATACACGTAAGAAGTCAGTAAATGTAACAATTTTTTCCAGCAATGCCAGACTGGGGTGAGTGGGGCTCTTGCAGCACCTCATGTGGGGCCGGATGGAGGTCGCGATACCGGATGTGTTCAAATTGTGACAAGAACCACTTCGATAATGCACACTCGGAACCATGCATGATAAATTTCTACTGTCCAGGTATGAAACTAATATAGATTTCTATTGTTTATGTCATAGACAGATGTATATTTCTATTGTCCATATCATAGACAGATGTAGATTTCTATTGTCCATGTGATAGACAGATGTAGATTTCTATTGTCCATATCATAGACAGATGTAGATTTCTATTGTCAATATTCTAGACAAATGCTAATTCTATTGTCCAGTTACTAGACCAATGTGAGTTTCGAATGTCCATGTACTTCACTAATGTAGATTATATTTTTAGGCAAATGAAAATTGCAACTGTCTTTTTGCTGAACCAATGTTAACTTCTGCTGTCTAGCGTCTAAACAAAAAGTTCTACTGTCCAATTACTAGACAAATGTATAATTTAATTCGACATAACTATCTGACAACAGCGCAACATTTTAAAAGAAAGAGTCTTAGTAAATGTTTGAGATAATTTCAGATACAATTTGTTAAATTCATTAAAGTGATGTTAAAACATGTCAATGAAGGGAGAGGTGCACGGTACAATGACGCTTTGTAACATCGAAACCCGAACATCCGGACGTTTACAGTCAGGAAATGTTTCAACAATCCGGAACATTTTGGACTGAAAAATTATTGATTTTTTGTAGTCAAGATCATAGTAATCATAGTAATCTTCCATCATTGGAAATCTCGATAGAGATTGTTGCCTCTTCTTTTTGCTGTTAGCATTAAGCATTACTGGTCACTTATGAGGAAGTTTGGTATCATTTTAACGGTTTCTTTCTTGCAGTTGACGGTAACTGGGGACCATGGTTCGGCTGGACCTCGTGTTCCGAGTCCTGTGGGGGAGGTGTCAGGGAGAGGGAGAAGACGTGTAATTATCCCCCTCCTTCCCACGGGGGCCGAGATTGTCCCGGAGAACCTAGAGAAGAACAAGATTGTAACGAGGATCCGTGTCCAAGTAGGTTCATATTAACAATGGAAATCCATGGATAATAATATCGCATCTTATGCCAAAAGCTTCCGAAATCAAGCATATTCGTTACTGTGACATTTCATTGTTAAACGTTTCCCTATAGTGCGTACACCCGTCTATATATTTTTCTTCGGTGTTTCTTTAGGGCTATTTCAACTGTATCTCTTTCTCTTTTTTTTTTAATCAATCCCATTCGATTTCAATCCGTGGTATACTATATACTGGATTTTCGATTCCATTATTTTTGCGGTTACGACATCTATAGCCTGTATTTTCGGTTTCGAAAACGTTTACAGCCAACGAACAGCCTCGAAAGTCTAGCAAAATCAACAAACTCAAGCTTATCGTTGGTATAGTATATTGTGTACGGTAACAGCTGTGAGATAGAAACAGATGTCAGTAGTGGTCAGTAAAAACTGTATGCAAATCTCCAGGTAAAGAACCCGTCATGTGTGGTCATTTCACGCCGATAAACGCCACATATTTGACCATTATTACGTAAAAATATTAAATATATCTTTTTACTGGTCTGCCTTTCCTCGTCCACAAATTGGCCCGATATCTGTACTCGCTCGGGAGAACATTCTGTAACAGTAGCATTGGTTGTACGGTAGAGCTTCCTCCAGAGACCGCTTATGTATCCAGCATCCTTACACTGATATCTCTTCGGGATGTGTAGCTTCTCCTGCAGAGTGAATTTCACACTGCGAATGTCTCTATGCCCTATGCCTCCTTTACCGACGTCAGGAAGAATATCCACTTCTAGTTTTGAATTTGACAGTTCTCGAAACTCGGATGTATATGGCTCTGGGTGTACATATGGTTTTGGTTTTAATGTAACTGTGAGTTTTTGTCTAGAAAAGAAAATCTCAAGGAACCAGATAGGGAAATGTTCGGTCTTTTCCACGTACGTTCTCTGTAGGGATTTCAGTTTTTCAACCTTTGCCACTTTGACGGGGTCAACGTATCTCGGGATAGTATTTCTTCCATGACTTCTTTCAAGCATCTTTTTGAAGTCATGTTCTGTAAAGAATTCTTTATGAACCTTTGTCTCGGACGGCTCGTGAGGGGGTTTAACATCCTCGGAGATACTTTCTGCTACCTCCTTTTCCGTTTGCACATTTGCACGAATTTTCTTTAGAATGCTCATAAAGTCTTGCTCCGAAGAATCAGAGGAGTCCGAATTCGATCCAGACTCAACATCGTCCTGATTCTCCAGACATATATCACGAAAATCTTCTTCTGCGTCTGAATAAAATGAACTACTAATAGTACCACTTCTACTTCCAATGACCATTTGGAAGACATTTCTGTCCTCCGCTTCTGACATTAAAACATCTCTGGAAATTTTTTTGGCATATGAGTATTCTTCCAATACCATTTTGGTGTTTTCGACCAGGAAACGACTTCTTTCGAGTAGTTTTCGTAATTTTTCTTCACTTTCTAGCTCTTCTGAATCAATATCCTGGCCCAATTCATTTGGGCGTTTTCTCAGGTCGTTGCTTTCCGATGTCACCAACTGTTTACAGCGAACTTGACTGGAACAGGAGTCGTCCTCTTGACTAAATCTACTGTTTTTTCGGGTTTCGTTGCTTCTAGATTTGTCGTTGTCTTCTCTGAAAGCGCCGTAGGAATTATCTGGCACGAACCTATGGCGGAAGCTCCAAGGAACGGCACGGTCGATGTCTCTGAAGTCTACCTGTCTATATAGATCCATCCGGCATTTAAACCAGTTCGGATCCATCCCTATAGGTTTCTTGGGTTTGCCCATATGTTGGATTGATATGACAATACTGTTCATTTTGGATTCGATTCTAGCTCAGAAGAGTCTTCGACAGTGCATGTATTCACGAAGACGGCAAACTTGTTGTCATAGTGCAATTAATACTAATGACGTAATAAAAGTATCTGGGAATTTGACGTCACAATGGTCAATTGTTTATTTGGGGTTTTACGCAAGGTCACATGACGGCAGCAACAATGTTGGCGTTTGTCATGATATATAAACCAAGTTAATTTGTCATGTTTAACGGCTTCAAACTTTTGGAGGGAGTAGATAAGTGAAACAAATGTTATTGGTAGTTTTTGTTTTATTTCCTGTCGTCTCATTTCAGTCCAATTTCATTTAGAACCGTTTTTATAAAATACATAAAAGGATTCTGTAAGATGAGTGACAACCAGTTATTTATTTTGAACACTTATTTCACTTAACAACAACTTCAGTATACATACATTTAGATTATAAAATATCCAACAATCTCATTCCATTTTCTTTGTGACAGTTGACGGTGGTTGGGGGGCGTGGTCCCATTACAGCCTGTGTAGTGTGACATGTGGGTCGGGTGCGATGACACGGACGCGTCAGTGTGACAACCCGACTCCACAACACGGGGGAAAGAACTGCCCCGGCTCCGGCAGAGACTCCAGAAGGTGTACCAGTCGACAATGTCCGCGTGAGTTCTTATATCTGATTGGTCAATATTAACCAATGTCAAGTTCGACAATGTCCATGTGAGTTCTGATTGGTCAATCTCAACCAAGGTCAGTTTTAAATGAAATAGCTTTATAAAAATAATTGTATTAGTAATAGCATCTGATTTACCATATTACAAAGAAATAATTGGACAGGATATACATATCGACTCGTTTGGTAGTTTTGCTGTTTTGTACTATTATGGAAGTAAACTGTATTATGGATACATCAGTAAAAATGGTATCATGAATAAAAAAAAAAAAAAAAAAATAGAATAAAAAATAGATTAAGGAACCAAAAGTACCCTCACAGATACATACCAGTACCGCTTCTAATACAATGATGACGGTCAACGATTGTTGCTTTCCGTTCTCTTTCGTGATTAAATATTGTTATATCTTGTTACAGAGCACGGAGGCTGGTCGTTGTGGGGGTCATGGAACAAATGTCCGGTCACGTGTGGGGTGGGTCAGAGAACGAGGACCAGAGAATGTAACAGTCCCCGCCCCTTGTTCGGCGGCCGCAGGTGTGACGGCCGGGCGGAGGAGGTGCTGCGCTGTGACGCTGGTCGACCGTGTCCAAGTATGTATGGTTGTAACCCTCTATATGTCTGTTAAGGATTGCTCGGACATGTGTCAATGGTATATATGCACATAATATATAATTGAAGAAGAGAATACATTCCTTAAATAAGCCCCAAATAGTTCCTGCTCCACAATGTGTCAACTATATATATCAGTGTGATATTGACAGTCAACGTGTTTTCTAGGAAATGGAGGCTGGTCGTCGTGGACAGACTTCGGTCGGTGTCGGGCAGCACGTTGTCAGGAGGGTATACAGATCCGGTCCCGGAGCTGTACGAGTCCCCGCCCCAAACACGGGGGGAGGCCGTGCGTGGGTCGACACAAAGAGGAGCAGAGGTGTGTTAACACCATCAATTGTCCCAGTGAGTACCCAGTGTGTGGTATGGCCATATAGTATATGCTGTGTGATGTACTAAATCATGTATTTACTACTGCGTGTGGTATAATAAATCCTATATTACGTACTGTGTGTGATAAAGTGATTCAAATTAGACTATTTACCGCGTGTGATGTATTGAATCCTTTATGGTATAGCGCATGTGATGCACTGAATATGTTACTATATACTGCGCGTGAATCATGTATTAGATATCGCCGTACGTGTTGTATGGAATTATTCACTACTACCGAATGTGATGTACTGAATCCTTTATTGCATAACGCGTGTGATGTATTCAATCAATGATAACATCTCGCGTGTGGTGAATTGAATCCATTAAAGCATTGTAGTGTCATGAATCTTTCTATTATTTCATACCGCGTGCGATGTAATGAATCATTTATTACATACATCGTAATATGTTCGAAAACTGATAACTGAAATAGGCTTCTTACACGTAGCAAAGTTGCTTGGATTATGTATTGAATAGTGTTTATTAACTTGAATTATGAAGTGATTTATTAAATTCTTTCCTGCCTTTATTGCAGTCCAGGGAAATTGGTGTGACTGGCTCGAGTGGTCATCGTGCACCGCCACGTGCACGGGGCTGAGTTCCATGCAAGTGCGGCAGCGGAAATGTGAATGTCCCGTACCCAACACAGAAGGACAGGGCTGCTCTGGTACGGAGGGTGAGGGGCGGATTGATTGGGGGGAAGGGATGGGGGAGAGGAAGTGTGAATGTCCCATACCCAACACAGGAGGACAGGGCTGCTCTGGTAGGGAGGGTGAGGGGCGGGATGATTGGGGGGAAAGGGG